TCAAATTGAGCAGCAATTAGAGACCATGACAGGGTTTCTTCTTTTTCAACTCAAACTATCATTCCATAGTTCTATTTTCTACTTCAAATCTCTGTTCGATTCCTAATTGAATTGCTAAATTTCTTTCGGTTTTGTGGACATTGACATTTGGTTTTCCTGCCGTACTGACAGTTGACAGCTGATTGAGAGTTGTTAGCTGTCTTTGGGCCCCCAAAAAAGGGATACCATTCCCATTCAAATATTTACTGTACTGTTTCCATACCTATATACGGCTTTCTGCTGCTGCAGCACGCTTTTAATTTTGATTAATGACATCCAAGTCGACATTTTTGGGCCCGCATCATTTATATGCCTCACTGACCTCAACATCCGTGCGGCATTTAGGCCTGCTTTTGCTCGAAAACTTGAAACCCAAAAGTTTAGCTGGGATCGATTTCGTGATGAATTGTTTTCAGGGAGGCCCTGACATTTTATTCTTTCAATTTAATTAAAAATTGTTTGCCGGTGCATAGTTCTTGCCCAAAGAAGTTCTTGGCCCATAATCGCAGGCGCTCAATTTCTCTTGGTTCTTGGTGTTTTTTTTTCTGGCATAAAGTTTATTTTTTATTACTCTTTGAAGTAACATTAAAATTTAGTTGCATACGCAACAGGGAAAAGCGGGTCCGAACGAACGAAAGAGCGAACGAACGAACGGAACGTTTGGCTATTAAAATCCTCCAGTGTAAAACTATGCTGCGCTTTTATAAGTATTTTATTTGCAGCTGCCCAAAGGAGCTGCCAGCAGGAGTAGGTGCCTGGAGGATGTAGCAGAAAGGATACTGCTGTTTCTTAGACTCAGCAGATTTAGCAATGCTTTTGGAAAAGTTGCCGCATTAAAAATACAACACGAGGCAGGGGCCAAGCATGAGCATGGGAATGGGCATGGGGCATGGGCATGGGGCATGGGCAGCGGCATGGAATGGAGGGTAATGCCATACACACAGAGTTGCAATTTCCACAGGAGAGTAGAAACGGAAGTCCTGGGTAGTAGGAAATGCAATGAATCGTTAAATTTAGCATCGTATTTCAATGCAATTCAGTGGGAACGTTGGTTGCTCTACTCCTGATGCTGGTGCTGGTGCTGGTGCTGCTGCTGCTGCTGCTGCTGCTGCAGGTTCTGTTGCTGACAGGTGAATTGCAGCTGTCAGTCGGTGGGCATAGCCCCCAAGGAGACGACTGACTCCTCCACTCCACATCAGGACTCATCTTCCTGGAGGACGAGTGATTTGTCGCCAACACGACAGGCAAAGCAGCTTAGCAGAAGCTCATCCTCTTCATTTTCCTCTTCCTGCCCTCCGTTCAGCTCTTATGACTATTTGCAGCTTAAGCATTTCCATTACAAGAGCTTCCCCTTCATAAAGGAAAAAACCGTTTCTAAAACCCTTTCATTGCCCATTAAATTTCTACCCTCGCACTTTGCACTTATTAAAAAGTCGTACACATGAGGGCCGAAGGAAAATTTAGGGGCGAAAATTGTACAAGTAGCTTTGGGGCATAAATTTCACGGATAACGTAGGAGGCCTAACTTTCAAGTTTCTCGTTCTCGTTCGCCCCCATAACTAGGTCTTGGGTCATAAAAAGCAGCTGCATACTTTACGATTCCCTATACCCCACAGCTAGCAGCATATGCTGATTTTATACATACGAAAAGGAATGCGAATACGAATACGAATAACGAATATATAGAGATCCCTTTTCTCACTCGCTCGTTTGTTGAATGCCACACGGGGTCAATTTTTATGAGCATTTTGGCATATTGGAAACAGGGCCAAAAGTTATGGTTATAATTCAGCAATGTACGGAACAGAAAAGAAGAGCAAAAAAAAAAAACAGTCAGGGCTACTGGCACAGAGTAGGGGGAGTGAAAATATATCATCCATGCATACATATAAGTATTTTCTCCCCTTAATTGAGATGTTTGCTCTATGGCTCTGTGGGGAGCGTGTGGAATGTTTTTAGAAATATTCATTTTTTGGAATTGCGGATTAGCTTTTGGGGTGCACTTACAAATTTGCTTTCGAAAACTAAAATGCTTGAGCTACATAAATTGATGATGCAAATAAGAGTAAATTTAAGTATGTTTAATAGGTATTAATATTGTATTATTATGAGTTATTTAATTTAATATTAATAATTTTAATTAATATTAATATTGTATTATTATGAGTAATCTAATTTAATCTTAAGATAAGTCCTTGTATTGCTGATGTACAGATTATATTTAAATAAGATAAACTTCATATAGTCACATTTCCCTTCACGTTGCACTCCACATAGCATCCAAAGCTATTTTCAATACAAATATTCGATAGATACAATCATTTTTGTATATTTTTCTTAATTCTACACAAACATTACTTTTTATATCTTAATTTTCACATCACAAATTGTCTCTTTTACTCCTTTTTGCTTGTCTATTCCCCAACGCCACTGATTACACAAAAAAAAGAAATGATAAAATCGAATTTTTTACACAAAATCGATTCGAATTTTCTATTTTATTTCTGTGGCTTTTTTCTGCATTTTTTGTTGGGGTTATAGTAAAAATGTTAGTATTAATTTCCATATAAATTGCTTGAATGCGCCTGTATCTGTATCTATTTCTGTAGCTGTATCTGTATCTGTGCGATAGCTTAGTTTGAGTGTGTGTGCGTGCGTGCGTGTGTGTGTCTATGTATCTATAACTGTGGAAAATTTTAAACGTTGAAATCAATTTGCACATATCAACAACGAAATTGTTTGCTCGTCTGTCGACTGCATTGCGTTTTCCCTGGCTTTTCCACACAAGTGTGAAATGAAAAATCAGCAAGAAAAACTTGGCTGCAATGCAAAGCCCCTTGGGATATATATCTATGGCATCTACAAATTTCATTTGCTATTCCTTTAATCTTGCTAACAAGCAAAGAAAAAAAAAACAAGCTAAAACCTACACCTAAAACCGCGAGAGATAGCACAAACATAATTAAATTTATTTAAATTTTATATGTATGTACATACAAATATCTCTCTGTCTCTATCGCCTGTGTTTTTTCCAGCAACAAGCAAGCAATCCAGCAAATAAACAGAAATCCCGGTTTTATGGCCTTAATGATACGCTTTTTATGGGTCGTCATGGAAAGTGTCTGAATGTCTGAATGTCCTGTCTGCCTGTTCTTCCCATTGCCATGCCATGCCATTAAATTGTTTAAGCAAACATAAAACTTTACAAATGCGAGCAAAAGAATATTTACTGAGAGAAATTTCATTTGCAGTGAAGGCATAGCAGGAGGAGTAGGTGAAGACGGTTCTCAGAGCTCATTACAGCCACAAAAACCAATATGCTTATTGCTCTTTGCCACACTCCTGCCTCCTGTCTGCCTGTGTCTGCGTCTGTGTCTGTGTCTGGGGCTATAAAAACTGTTAACGTAAGCGTAAAATGCTTTCAAGTGCTTCGCAAATCTAGCAAACCTCTCCCAAACCAAACCAAACCAAATGCCTGGCAAATCATCTTCTTGGGGGAGAATCTTTCCGGGGAATTTTTTTCCATCTTCATTTCTAATGAGCAAAAGCAACAATTCGAGTAGGTGGCAAAAATATACATTCCTTGGGCACCTTTTTTCTTAACTTGGTTTAAATTAATGCCTGTCGTGGGTGGAAATTAACAAATGGATTATTTTTAGGTGTTGGAATTTTTGATGATTTTTTCAAACAGATTTTTAGTTTAGAATGCAATAAAAGTCCGATAAAATTTCAATATTTTCAATAAATTAGCCACGTAGGGAATTCCTTAATTGTTTCTTCCCACTTAACGAATCTTCGAAGGACTCCAAAATTTTCTTTCATTCAATAAACTCCTTCATTCCCCTTTGGAAACATTCATTAATCCCAATCAACAAACCGCCTCAATGCTTCACCATCCATTTTTAATATCCTAAAATATAGATTAAAATTGACTTTCTCCAATATATTTTATTTTAAACAAAATTTGAACAATTTTCTCTGGACTTTTCTTTACTGAAAAGAAAACTTCTACTGGCCGAAAAGTTGAAAAACCCCCAACAAAACTTTTGCAAATGATACAGAGAAAGAGAGTGACTATCGCCGCAACAAAAACCAAAAAGCAACAACAAATTTGCTACCAAAATGCAATGCCCACAAAAGCGGATCATTCTCTGGATCGAATGGATGGATGCCTCTTCCCTTTCAGAAAACTTTAAATTATTTACAAAATGCACTCACAATACACAATATATAGGAGTACATACTGTGGCAGTGGGGCACATTGTACCCAAGTTTTGTATTCCCTTTAGGCCACAATGCAGCTGAAAATATTATTTATTATTTGTGCTGCCGCTGATGCTCTAGGGATCACTTTTCGGGTGTGTGATTAGCCTTTGAATGGAGTAGGGATACAGAATTCGAAGCGAATTATAAATAAGCTGAAAAGTTTTGCACTGATTCGCTGACAGAACGAGTGAAAAATATTTGTATAAGATTAGTATACTTTTTTGCACACATTTATATATTGAAGGCATAAAAGGATTAGTTGGAACATTTTAAGCTGAATCTGAATGGTTTGAAAAGTTTCATTTATTCAACTGATTTTTTAATCTTTTTGATCAGGTTTAAAACTCAATGGTTTTATTGGTTTTGTTGAGTTTAAAAATTTGTGATCTTTTAGCAGATAAAATTTGATAAATGATATCTAAAGTATTTCTTAATTGTCAATAAATAAATATTATAACTTTTATATAAATCTAAGAAATACTGTATTAAAATTGTAGAAATAAGTTATGTATTATATTTATTGGCTCCAAACTAAGTTAAATATTAAATTCAACATCAAATAAACAATCAATAAATCCAACAAAATAAAAATTAAAATACCAAACGCGTTAAACGGGAATACAAAAATATAATAATTATCGTCGCGCGTTCCGTGTTCGTTTCGTACTAACCGAAGGTTCTGCTGCCCGTTACAGATGCAAATTTTTCGGATTTTCCATATATACAATATCTCACACGTAAGTCCCTGTTGTGGCCTTAGGTACAGTCCCCACCAGCAGCCACCAACCGCGCCATGCAATTTAAATGGCGCGTAATATTTAATTTCAATCAAAACTTGCTGCAGAAAAACATATCTACATATACGAAAAAAAAAATGATACATAAATCGAATTGATATGTTGGGTAAACTACTTTACGTTCTCGGGGTTGTGGACTCTGATGATGCTGCTGCTGATGCTGCTGCTGCCTCGTGCTGCATGCACATGACAATATTTTTGCTGCTTGTTTAACGTTTCGTGATTTTTGCCAGATTTTTAATGCCATGCATCTGTTTTTCCACTTGCCCCTCTGTCGATCTCCGCCAACATTTTCCCATTTGCCCCATTTTGTAGCTGTATCTCTTTCTCTTTTCTTTTTCCGTGCCACTCGTACGAGTACGTGTGTGTGGACAAACAACATGCGACATTGTATTGACAGCATATTGTGACAAATATGTAGAATATACACAAAAAGAGAGAAAAAGTAAGAAAATGTCCACCCAAAAAAACAAAAACAAAAAAAAAAAAAAGCAGAAAAGAAAAACCAAAAGCATACAGAAAATGATGGAAATGCTTTTCATGTGCCGAACGAAGCTTTAAAATCGACTGTCTGTCTATCTGTCCGTCGCCTACTTAAAACAGCTGCTGCTGCACCAAAACGATACGATACGAGTATCCCCAACACACAGCCCCACAATAGTATCTCATCTCTCTCTGAACAAAACAGGAAAGCTCTCTTCGAGTGGGAGCTTCAAGCATTTTTGTCCAGGAGTATTTTTAGAGTATTTTCTGTTGAATTTAATTCGGTTTTGAATAAAAAATGTGCTCCAGTTTGTAGTGTAGATTTTAAAACAATAAATGTGTGATTTTCAATCAGTCTAAATAATACCAGAGAGATAGTTTCTAAGTTAAATATCCAAGAAATATAACCCATTATTTAAAGTGGTAAATCAGAGATTCCTAAATACCAAAATACCAAATGTTTATACATCTATAAAAGTTCCCAGTTCCCATTCTCTTATTCCATGGAAACCTCCACACAAATATGGCATCTGAAAATCTACTTGGCAAACAAAAACCTAGACCCACGAAAAGCAGCAGCAAAAATATATGCATAATAACCCACTCCTGCCTGTAAAGACTTAACCCATATGAGAAGAAACCCTTGATATTAAACCGCTTTGCCATGTTCTTTTATGACCCTCCACAGATCCGCCGGAGATCATCAGGAAGCCACAGAATCAGGGCGTACGGGTGGGCGGCGTTGCGAGCTTCTATTGTGCGGCACGCGGTGATCCGCCGCCATCGATAGTCTGGCGCAAGAATGGCAAAAAAGTTTCGGGTAAGTTTTCCCATTGGCTTCCTATGCATAAAAACCCCCCCACTTAACGGAATGTGCCCTACGCAGGAACCCAATCTCGTTATACGGTGCTGGAGCAGCCCGGCGGGATATCCATATTACGTATTGAGCCGGTGCGAGCGGGCCGTGATGATGCCCCCTACGAGTGTGTGGCGGAGAACGGTGTGGGCGATGCCGTTGCCGCAGATGCAACTTTAACCATCTATGAAGGTAAGTGCCATGCCGATACCGATATTACTCCTTGGGACAAGCTAAGCCCATCATCAACATCATCAAAAGGTGGTTATTATATGTGCGATATACCCCTTAAGCATACGGATTAGCAATGGGTATATGGTGTGGCATAGATACAACAGGACTTTATGAGCTAGGGGCAGGCATGCCTCAGAGAAAATGAAAGGATTCTGGAAAAGGGGTTTATAATTTTAAGAATCATATAAAAAATTAATGAAAAATAAAGAAAAAAGTGATGCCAGTTATTCCGCAGTTATTTGTAACCTATTTAATTCTACATAGATTAATCGTTTATTTTAATAAGTGCTCTAATCAATCATTTTAATGGGCATGCCCTAGTCTTCATATCAACTATATCCTTCCAACTTGTTTATAGCTGGAAACTGCAGCTTCCTAATTGAACTCCACTCGACGGGTGGCTGGGTGTGGTGCGGAGCGGTGCGGTGCGGTGAAGCCACAGCAGTCAAGGGATTTTGTGGACGGGGGAGGAGTGGAGTGGAGTGGAGTGTGATAGAGCGACATCAAAAGTTTCGGTTTTAGTATGCGACGCAATGTAAACGAAGTTCATACATTGATTTTGAATTAAAACTGGGTAAAGAACTTGGCGTAAATGCTAAACTTTCAGCCACTCCCCACAACCCCAGCATCATCTACCCCCTTGGTGGGTGGAGGAGGATACTCCTAGGGATGGGGGTGACTGCTCCAAAGTTATTTGCCAGCTTGTTTGTGTGGCTTAAATTACTTGCCAAAATTTACTTTTGCTTATTTACAACTGTGCAAAGGATAAAGTTTTTTGGTCTCTCTAAGCCTAATCAAGTCTGTGCCAGAGAGGAAATGGAAGGAATATCGGCAGGGAGGTGGGTGGTGGGTGGTGGTTGGCGAAAGGAGTGAGGATGGCCCTGGCAATTGAACTAATTTGCTTAAACTGAGAGCATGGCCAAGTATTTATAAATTTCCTACTCGTTTTTCTTTCACAAATTATAAACAGCACAGCAAAAAGTTCAATAACAAAAATGTCTGGTAAAATCGAGAGAAAGGAAATTGGGAGGAAAATTAACAACTTTTAATGAGATTAAAGCAGCAAATTATTTGGTAAATCAACGCCAATACAAAATGCATATTGATCGATCCGCTCTTTGGCTATTTGAGCTCATTTAAAAGGGATTCCAAAAAAGCGATTCAATTGAGAAACTAATTGGAAGACTTTGATTGGGGTATTGGCCTTCAATTAGAGGTCTTTTGGTGAATTGAATATGTCTTCATATAAATCCAATAAATACTTGCAATTGAGAGTCCATTCTTTGCTCTTTAAAAGTGAACTCTTTTCGGTTACCTTGGCCTGCCTTTTGGACTCCATCCATGTCTGTGGCGGCACAACTTTTACCTTCATTCGCATGGCTGTTAGTCCTTTGGCTAAACTACACTAATTACTTCCCCTCGTATAGGGTCTGTGCACCTGCCTGCCTCCTACCATACTTTTGAGCCTATCAACGACGCTTTGCTCGTTGCAAGCTGCCACAAATCAAATGCACACCAATTACGTGGCGCCAGAGTGCACATAGAGCATAATCAACTCGCATAATTAACAACTAAAAATGCAAACGTTGCCACCAGGCACCGCATAAAAAGACTAAGTGAGCGAGATAGCAAGGGGTTGTACTCGTAGTTCAGAGTGCATATCAAACAGGAATATGCTAGTTTTATACTCTACTTTTTTGTGGGCCTTGAAAGTGGGGTTGTGTGGCACAGGAATTTGGAAAATATTTAGATACTACTCGTAAATAAAGCAGACAAACACTAGGAAGTTATATTTTGTTTAATATGTTTAATATTTTATTTATCTACATTTTTTGATTTATTTATTTATTTATCTTATAGAGAGAAGAATGTGTTGTTTCACAGTTGGATGATTTAATCATTGCATTTTAGTTTGTATATCAGTTTTTTATTTACAATTTTGGGAAGCACAGAATTAATTTTTTATTTTATTATTATTTTCTTTTTTTTATATATATATATTTTTTTTATGATTTTATTATTAACTTGCGGAGGAAAAATGTGTCTGAAGAGCTCCTGTTGTATAATAAAGCAGAGATCTCTCTCCTAGAGTATCTCCATCTTCGACTATTAAAAACCCTTTCGCACCTTCTTGTTTTTGGTTCCTGGTTTCCACCTGATGATGGCCCTCCGCTGTTGCTGCAATTTTCACACATTTTGTGGTTCCCTTTGGCGGCCTCATAAACAACCAACAAACAACTGGCTAAAGCAGCAACAGCAACAAGAACAACTAGTGGAACTAGTAGAACAACTATAATAAACCCCACTAAAATAGCTCGCAGACAGTACTAAATTATAAGTTAGAGCTGTAGCTCCTAGGAGTCCCACTCTGCCTCTCTCTCTCTCTCTCACTCTCTCTGTCTCTCTTGATGGCAAAAGTAAGGCACATTACTCATACGCCGCGAACATAAATTTAAGCGAAGGCCCCACAGCCTTTTGGATACGTAATTATTTTCCGTTTACAAAATGTCTGCCCGAAAACACCTAGAAGGCGAAACACCCACTAGAGGATCTGTTCTAGGGATAAATGTGGAAATAATAAACAGATACGAAAGCCGAAAATTGCCTTAAAAATGTATAACTTTGGGTACAACTGTAACCGGGGGCAGATTTATTATATCACAGTCGTCCTATGCTGTGTGGTGGCTGCTTTCCAAAAATCTCATTTTCTTTTGTCACTTAATTACAATTTTGTAATCCATCATAGAGAATGAGATAGCTATAGAGTCCTTGTAGTCCTCTGAAGAGTGGGTGTCATGAGCAAAACATTCATTCAGATAGTCTGAGGAAAAAACATGACCGCCAGCCACAGATAACAGAGTCACACAGCCATGAGCAGAGAGCTCTCTGAATGGGGTACCACGAGAGCAGGACTTCTCTGAGGGCAGGACTCCCTCTGAGGTTGTATCTACGAGCAGGACTCCTCTGAGGTTGTATCCACGCAGAGGACCTCCTCTAAATGGGGGCACTACTACGACTGCGTAATAGCAAAATAATAATGCAGCTAGCAAATGGAAGACACAGCATTATAATAAATACACCAAATATCAAAAACCCAGAGAGCGAGAGAGGGAGACTGAGAGCAGATGAGGAACGGATGAACATCGGAGTAGAACGCAAAAAAAAGAGCAACAAAAATTATCGCTAGCAATAAATTTAGTCAAAGCGTGCAGAGAACAGAAGCAATCAGCCAACAAATTGTAAACAGTAAATTTTACTAGCCAAGGGGTGAGTCCCACAGATACACTGAACGAATAAGGACATATGTAGATAAAATCTGGTATCAAAATATTATGGAAAGAACTTTGCTTGATGGTCACTGAAAGATGATTGAAACTAGTTTCTATGAGAATTGACTGCATTTTAGAAGATTGAAGCAATCGGAAGTGGAAGAGTAACACGAATCGAATTTTGGTAAATCTGATCCCTTCTTAAATGATAATTCTTCTGGTTTTCCTTTGTAGATTCCTCATTCTAGTTGGTGTTTCTCTCAGTGTAAAAGACTGCTAGCAAGCCACATTAGCACTAAATCGCAGGGACTAACGCAGTCAGTTAGTTAAACGCTTAGACCATAAATACACACACACACACACACCCACACAAAAACAGAAGCAAACGAAAAGAAGGATTCGGAGGCGGAGAACCAGAGGGCGATGCTGCTGCCGCTGCTGCTGCTGCGGCGGTGTCACGCCTCCGGTAGGGAAATTTATACGCACTATGAAGAAGCGCCACAGAACTAATCTTTATTTCGATATTTGCATAAAAAACAAGCATGTCAAAAAAAGAGAAAACAATATATAAGAATCCTCTGCATGCGGTTTTTGTTTCCATTTTTTGTTTGTTTTTTGTGCGTCGGAGAAGGAGTGGAGTAGTCGTGGAGTGGAGTGGAGTGCATAAAAGTGCAAAGGCAGAAAGGATTTACTGCATTTACCACACGCCTCCTTCAAGATATCCTAACGGGTAGACAGAGTCACGTTACTTGCAGGTGTTGCAAGTGCAATCTATCCTGGGTTTGGGTATGGGGAGTGGGGAGTTGGCAGTGTGGATGTGTGGATGTGGCAGACACAGTGGTGTCGGCTTTTGTGGCAAGCTGTAATAAGAGCACACACCTACGGACACACACACACGCACACATTCATCTCTGTGGCAAGTGTTTTTGATCCTCGCTCTCGCTGCTTTAGCCTGTTGAGAATTTTGATTAAAAATGCTTTCACGTAAACTCAAACGTGCCTCAGCGCTGCCACCGATGGGCGGTGGGGCATTAGGATGCTCCTCTGCATATGTGGGCTGGACGCGACCGGCGGGTCGTCTCTTTATTGGCATTCAGGGTGGCGCTTTTCCACGCTTTCCCGCGTGCGTGCGTGTGTGTGTGTGTAACATTTTTACATTGAGATTTATCACACCCAAAAACAACAAACATTCAGGGAAAACAAAATGGGAGAAAAAAGGGTGGAAACTTTAACCGGATCGCGTGAAAGGGCGAACAACAAAAAGGCAGGAATGGATAAAAGTTATGCCAAAAGGAATAACAAAAAATAAACCAAAAATACATATAAACTTGCCACATGCTGTGGAAATTAATTGCCAAGGTCCTGCTGGCTGCTGCCATAGATAGGTAAAAATATACATACATGCATGTAAATATACTATATTTATAGATATATCTGTGAATTTATTAAAGGTATATTGTTTTAATTTTTAGTTTGTGGAATGTGGTCTAACCGGGAACACTTAAATATTTCCAAAAGTTTGTTTAGCGAAAAATCATAACATTGAGGCAGTTTGTTGTATTTTAAGGTAATAATAAAATCATCGATATTATTTTTAAGGAGAAATAGAAAATTCCACGTTTATTAGAATTCCTAAAATATTATATTGAAATCTGGATGTATTCATATCCAGTATTTTTAAACGGAATT